AAGTCTCTGAAAGAAGAGTGAAAGAGACGGACAAAGTCACGGTCGTCTGAGGGAACGACAATAACAGAATGAAAGGGAGAAAGCATTCCTTCCACATGGTTTTGGGTCACTTTTAGTAAAAGGCAGATACTACGCAGCGTCATCGGCTCCTGTAAAAGGATGACAGTGCCTAATACTGTCCGAAGATTGTTGACTTTTGAATCGGGAAGCTTTTCGATAGCAGAGGATATGGTCCTTCGATAAAGATGGTCTAAACCATATTCCCCTTCGTTATGGCTTTCGGAGGCACTGGCAATCTGAAATTAACTGTTCTGCTCTGTCACCTGGAGATTCGATGAATCTGCATACGGTTGTCGCGAATATGACAATCCAGCAGATTTCTGGACGAGCTGATCTAAGAGATGTTCTGGAGGCCAACTATTCGTCATCGCTGGATCACCAGAGATGGGAGGGGCTTGGGGCGAGGGTAGTCAATTTGGCGTGAAGGTACATTCGTATGTCAGCGTCGACTGAGCGCCTGTCTATGCGATGCAGGATGATATCTTTCCATCTATCAGTTGAAATCGACTGGAAAGTTTTACGTTCGGGAATTTCAGGGCGGCTAGTTAACAAGATCCTCAAAGTTTGGAAATCAGGGGTGATGGATAGAAAGCCCGAAATCAGCTCGCGACGAGCAATCTCATTCGTGCATTCATCCAGCGCATCAACAATAAGCAAAAGCGGTCCGGAACAACGGCCAGTGTTTCGCAATGGCTTGATCACCAGCTTCTCCAGCTGCTGAGATGGCATTTCCAAATCAATACCGTCCCAGTGCCGCACAACCGAAACGAGTTCCCGGCGAAAGCCCATATCGAGTTCAGAGAGGTGAAAAAGCGATGGTAGGAATAATAAGTCTCGCATCCTTTTGCTGCGAGTCATTCCTGGAGCAAAAGAAGCTTCCCCCAAGGATGCCTCTGTCCGCAGCCCAATGCGCAACGCTCCTTGCCACGGTACTCTTGCCCGCACCAGCGACACTGTTTAACCAACAAACGCAGCGCGTGTCGGACTCATTCAGTATCCAGGTCATTATGTCCTCCAAAATCGCAGTTCGTGTACCCTCTAAGCACTCGCCTGGTGCTCCATTCCGCCAGCGCGCAGCTTGGGAACGCGGAATAGCGTTGATAATTAATGAATGTACTGGTGATTTGTCAAGACATGTCGTTCATGGCGTGATGGGCTCACCATCTGCATGTATACTCTGACCGGAATCCGTGAGAGACCATAATTCTTGAAGGGTTTAGACTCACCGAGGTGTTGACTTCAATACGAAGCACGGATCCGGCCTTCCACGTGTCAGTGATTCGAACTTGCAAGAAGAGTGCTTTTGCTTACCGTCAAACTTGTCAACAAGGACCTCAGTCGCCGGAATATACCCACTATGATCTGCTTATCTTCGGATGAGTAGAGAAGCCCGTCAATAAGAGTGCTGTTTTGGAGGTTTCGACATGTGTCTTCTACTGAAGCAAGGGAGCTGGTTGGCAATGAGCAACCGGGAGATGTCGGTTATTTCAGAGACGACAAACGTTTGAAAGCCTTCAATGTGTTCTTTCAAGGCCATGGGGATCTCCATCTTCCTGTCTGGTAGGGTTTTGAAAGGGGATAGAAGATAATCAAGCGCTTCAATCATATCAACAATCTCTTGAAGATCCCGCTTGTTTTGATCAGTTTCCTGGCGCTCGATGTCAGTGCCATCGGTAACTGGAGTATAACGTATAATAGACCTGCCTGAATAATGTCGACAATCGCAACAAGCGCAGCCACTACACCTTTTAACCCTGGAACTGGAATACCTTCCGCCGTCTTCTCGAGAATCTTCAAGGGATGTACAAATGCTTGCAGTAGTGTACGTCGTGGCACTGTGGCATCTGTGGCACCTGAACTTAGGGATCAGGCCCAAGTCTGAAGGATTTGAAAATGGAAGAAGAATACCTCTATGCCACACAATTGATAAAGGCGTTCTTGGATGAACATGGCCTATTGTATCGATACGCCCGTTGGCGACTGAAGGTATAGGGATAGATTGGACAGGGACTGCAACATTGGGAGAGGCCGTTACAGCTTTAGAACGTGGAAACAAGATCCAGGGGATCAGACGTTTCAAAAACAAGCGTCGTTTCTTCTGCATTGATGACATCGCGCTTGCCAGACCACATCACAGACGGAAAAGGTTGCAAGGCTCAAGGAGGAAGCCTAGTGGGAGGTTTACAGAGAGCGATGTTGAGCTGATTTGGATACAGGTGTAAAACGTCCTCGCAATTCGGCTGACTCGGCATTTCTTGACGAACATGACTAGGGATGTGCACCGTATCCGTAATACGGTGGATACGTACGGCACATACGGATACGGGTCCGTACCGTTGCGAGTGCGAGACTGCAAGGTACCGTACGGTTCACGGTACGGTGAGTACCCGTAACAACCGTACGGGACAAGCCGTTACGGCCGTATACGGCAGCTGCAACTGATATCAAACCGAAGCCACTTTTGGTACTCCCTTTCCGCTTTCTCATCTGAAAATTGCTTGCCACGGTAATCTGTCGAGTGTTTCAACTTAAATAATTCAACCTGGTACAAGGTACGCCAATTACCTGACCAACCTACTCCAATGAGCCGTGCGTAGTCCCCCTCTCTCTATGACAATTTGCATTTGTCTCAGCAATGTGCAAGTTCTCGTCGTCAATCTGTTTTTTTTACAAATCAAAACAGTACCGTATCACCTGGCACGATGCAACAAACTCCGGAGTATTAGATGTGCATACCTCACTCATTCCTTGCTTAGGTTCCCATTGTTGTCCACACTCACTGCCACTCTTACGATACAGACCACCAAAATGACTTTGTCCACGCGATTCATGAACGCAAGATGTGTAAGTCTCTTTGATTCCCTGAAAGACTTCGAAACTGACTGTTTTTATAGTAGATCTTCTTTTCTCTACATGGAGACGACAATGACTATTAGTATTATGCTGCGGAGAGCATGCAGGTCTTTTGAGTGTATTCTACGACCGTAATACGGCCGTTACGTCCGTACATATACCCGTACGTACCGTGAACCTCGCTTTTCTTGCTCCTACGGTACGGACACGGTCCATCCGTATCCGTATCCATCCGTCAGGGGTACGGCCGTATCCGTAACGGTACGGTGCACATCCCTAAACATGACTCTGAGTGCCTGAAAAATGTTCCCCGTCAGGAAGCACACCAAGAAAAGTAAAATTTCAGCTGAGTTTTTGTTGGTCAGAAACTAATTCCAAAACCAGGAAAAACCCATGTATAGGAATCCCACTCCATCCCGCCTTGGGGCGGGAGAGGGCGCATACCTATATATGGTATCCCACCAGTTTCTTATTTGGACAATTAGAAATTCGGCTGAAATTTTACTTTTCTTGGTGTGAAGCTTGATGACAGGGTCATCAGCGAGTAGCGCTCGGCCCGAACCATTTGAAGAGCGCACATCTTTCAAGCACAGTTCTATCTCTGGCAACCTCCAATAGAGAACAGCGGAGAGACCAGACTGTAAAGGAGCAAAGCATGGCTTGATAGAAAAAGAAGGTAATAAGCGAAAACTCACACCGATCGGCGATTCTTTCCAAAGGTCCTGATAGCGTCGAGCGAATCCAGGCCATGTCGCAACGTCTTCCCCAAAGAGTACTTTCTTTCTTCTGCGATACTGTTGTACTGCCAGGAGCCTAGCATCAGCAAAAACCCCCAACAGCCCCCAACGGTCGTAATCTGTACCATATTTGTATTATCTTATCAGTACCGATACTCGGCTTCTAAAATCGATACAATCATCTTGTGTCATATTCCCGCTACCTTGGTAGTGGGTTATGGGTATGTCCCTATTGTGCTTCCATTTGGCGGTAAAAAGCAGTGTGCCAGCCAGCTCCTGTGCCCCCTATTTTTTTTGTGGCATGGAAATTGTTTTCTTATTTGGCATGTACTTTTCCCGTGGTGCGGTGCCTGTACTCCCGTTTATGGCGAACCCCACCTGCATCATCGAACAGGAGCGATACATCTATTCAATATGTCTTCAGTCGCCCATCTCTCAGCGTTCTCCAGTTGTGCATGTTCCTGATCATATGCCAATTTCTGTCACAGTCAATACAGAACTGTTTGTTCATCAGTGTTCACTTTCATTCATAATCGAGGAGGATCTGTCAACGGATATTGTTCTTGGTTTTGATTGGTTTTCTCAGCTGGCGTCCTATGCCACCGACCATCCTTGTATGTTCATTTTAATCATTTTCTTTTATTACCTCAAGCCGTCTTTTCTAGATGCCTCTGGGCATTGAACGTGTTTGCATAGGTTAATGGATATATACCATAGTCTTTGTAACCCCACATCAGCTCAGTTCATTCCGCTTGCGTCCAACGACGTTGTCATCCGCAATCTGTTTGGCCATGGGTTGGTCGTTAACACCACGTGTGGGGGTCATGAACTGTATCATGAGCGGATCATGGAGCGTATACTGGCAGGACTCTGCGCAGGAGGAAGAGGCTCGCTTTGTCATGACTATATGCAGATCTGCAGGAGCTCACGGGTTTTTCCTCATGTATTCTGTGTTGCGTCCGCCGTCTCTTCGGGCGTCATAGAGCGGGTTAGCCCTTCTGCGTTGTCCTGTTATTCACGTGTATTTGCTCCTCACGTCGATCGCAACAAGAGACGATCGACTGTTGTAGGGGCTCAGCACCGACTCGACCGCCTGCGTTATGTGTCCTTCGCTGATGAGCCATCTTACTTGCTCCGTATAGTGAATGCCGAGTTTGAGAGGATGCCCTTGGCTGAACTGGTGGACATTGCGAAAGCTCATTGCATCAAAATGACTGATGGAGATGGGCCTGAGGGGTATAGGAGTTCTATTGCAGAGCATTTGTTTCTTGGACACTGTTTATCTTGGGTTGATACACTCATTTCTGATGTGCCCCTTGGTTGTCTTGATTTTCTAACTGATTTTTACTACCCTCATTCATAGGTTACACTATATAATTTACGCGGTTTGCAACAATATTTGGACTAGGTCAATGACCTCCATGTTTTCCCCCCTCCCCCTGTCTGTCTACTGGATTGGCTCACTTATCTATTCTTTGCATGTGCTCTCTTTCTTGTCTTTCCATCATGACCGATACCTTCGGTTTGGGCTTTTGACGAGATGCTCTTCTTCGTACCGATGCTTACATCGGATGTAACTGACTGAAGGATATCCTGGTATGGCAATGTATTGACAACGTTGACTATCTATGTTTGCAGGACCCTCAGGATAGTGGTGGACGTAGGCTGAATTCACCCACTCCAGGCGTTTTCACTTTTGTTGCGGTTGCGAGTAGCGCTGCTCAGCTCAACAAGTTGTCGGGCATCGGTGATTATCACGCGGCTAATCCTAAGCCATTGGCCAAGCTTAAATGGGTACTACATTTCACTCGTCCTCGAGGTACGCCTTTTCAAGAGGACTGGGATGTCAGGATTTCAGTGCTTCAGCATGTGCAGCATCTTAAGACTTCTGGTGTTCCCAATGATATGATAATTATTCATGAATCAGGGGCTGTGGAGCTGAGAACGACCTCGCGGATGTTCAAGCTGAAAGTGAGTCCTAATTTAGTTTTTAATTTTTATCATGTCTGATTATTTTCAGTCGACTTCTGACATGGATGCCACTACTAGGAATTACGTCGTGCCTGCAGAGCATCGCCAGGAGTACATTGCGATGATCAGATGATATGCTCTTGACCCTATTGATATTAGGTCGTATACTGGGTGGTCAGTCGTCATGGGTTCCCTCACAGAGGATACAGTGGGTGGTTCTCTGTGTCTAGTATCGTTTAAGGTATGTGATTTTACTGTTCGCGTCGACTTAGCTGTTCAATTTAAAAGGTGATACATTACTTCATCGCTTCCGTTCGGAGGGAGTCATTTAGCGCTTCACTGGAATCCATCCGTGTGTTAGTTCCACGTCAGCAGATGAAGAAGACCATTCACGAATTGTCTGTAATGCCACCTTGTTCTTCATCAACTTTTAACGTGTTTGTGCCCTTCTTTGGCATTCGAACACCAACATTATACTCTCGTCATTATCGTTCGCACCAAACCTCCGGTCATTGTCCGTATTTGACGTCCCCCTCCATGCCTTGACAGTATCCCCCTCTATTTTACAGTGCTTGGAGGAATTCCGTTTTCAGCTGTACGACCAAGCATCCACCGCATTGGACCTTCTGCCCCTCATGAACAACCTGTGCAGACTAGACATCACGTGTGATGCAGACGTCGAGCAGTTCGAATGTATCATTGAGCTACCCATGGTTGCAAGTCTTACTCTTCGAGATGGCGAGTCCTCTAATGGACTACCATTGGTGTGGTCCCTCCTCCGTCTTGATAACTTGCATACGTTGTCGCTGTCATACGAAGGCAATATACTCGACCCTGCTTGGCCTCGCATATCGTTACCGAATTATGGTATTACGACGTTCAAAATTTCCTATACCGACTCTGTGCATAATTTTGATTTCCATGATAACGCGTCAATTGGACTACTATGCCATCTTCCTAACATCGAGTCGCTTCATCTCACTCTCCCATTCTTCTGCACTCGCCTTTTTGGCGAGCTACGATCCAATCCAAAGTTTCTTCCGCGGTTGGTTGATATCATGTTCTTATGCTGGGATCTTCGGAAGGATGCGGATATCATGTATATATGCCATATGTTGAAGTCCCGATGTCGAGCTCTTGGGTGTGCAACAATTTCCAAGCTAACCTTACACTGTTCTGATCCCTTGAAGGTTCATTCCCCCATAACACCTGGTTGGGAATCCTTGTTGAAGCCCGGTCTGATTGTGTCCTGTATATAGTGTATGCATGAGTACCTCTTCTTATCATCCGCACTGTTGAATGCTTATATATTTGTTAGGTTGTGTATATATTGATAGTCTTGCACTTTAAAAATACTTTTGTCGCTTTCACTGTTCTATCCACGTGCATTTTGAAATACCTCGGAGACCATTGCTTGTATCAGTCGCAACCCGCCTCTGCGAGTGCTCCCGTTGTGTATTTAGCAGGAAAACCGATACACAATGTTTGCGTCTTACGGTTAAGTGAGTACGTTGTATTATCCATGTCGATCATGTTCATGCTAACAATGTTGACCCTGCCTTCTGCTTTCCTCCGGCAAGACAGCGCTCCCTTGGTTTTATCATGGGCCATTCGAAGGTCCTGATATCTGACCTCAACTGCTAACATGCTGTTCCCTTAGAGGTGCGTATATTTCCGATCGTCCCCCTCCTTCAGAAACTGACGTCCCTCATTACGGTACTTCAGAGAATCCTCATGTGTAATATTCAGGTAATGACCTCTTGATCGTGTTTACATGCAGCTAACAGTTGTGCATACTTTCCTTCATTCTACGTTCTGCAGCGAGCTGCTTGGTTGCCTCATATTACTTGCACCGAGTCTTCGGGTCTCTCAGAACAGCTCAGTGATGACTAAGCATACCTGATCAAGCCTTCTTTACAATCATCACCTTGGTACAGTACCCGCCCTCACCTTCAATAACTTACATTTACATCTCCTCTAGCTCAAATGTCGTTCATGGCTTATGTCTACAATCAGTGGAGTGCCGAGTTCCCTTTCATGCGCGGAGGGCTGAATGGTTTGATCAATGCTCTGAGTCGCGAGCGGCAGGCATTGGAGGGCGAAGGGTTTCAGATGATGACTTGCACTATCACGTGAGTTTCTGCTTCTACTCGCTGTATTATGATACTAACGCGTAAATTGAACAGAAAAACACCCTCTCCCAATCACCCAAACATTACCGTACGCGTGTACGATTCGTACAACAACCACTTGGGTGCCCTCCACTACGATCCTCTCCACCCCGAAAGCACTTGCTTCTCTCCCGACCGCCGAGAGAAAAGGCTCAAACGCGTACTAGATCGTGTTGTACGTGGCATCCGGCCCAGTTACAAGGTTCACTTCGATCCCAACATGAACACGTTCTTGGCTGCTATGTGAGTCTCTTCCTACTCAACGTGTACCCTCCGCTGACGTTGTGCAGTGTCATTCAGTAGGCGACTGGCATCCCTCGTTTTACTAGCAGTAAAAAAAATTATATATATTGAATCTGTATATACTATTGAACTACGAAATTCACTACTATCTTGACTTGTCGGCCGTTTCCGTCTGTCTGTGACAAGGTAGCGGGTCTTGCCGCTTGCCGGCCTTACTTAGTTATGACCTATTTGCCACCGAGACATAATCCCCCACAATAGTCGTGGACGTTACAATAGGTTATTGCCCTCTCGCTATTATGCTACCAGAATATAGCAACGCTGGACGACTTGACTGGCATTGCCCCGCGCGGCACTATAAATGAACCCCGGCATCTGCAGCTTTACAACTATCAATCAAGATGGTGCTCCAGCAAGATGAACGCGATCATGATGGTGCCGCATTACACGTTATTGCTATTTCGAAAAATGATGAGAGTCCAAAAAAAAAATTAAAAAGTTTTGGGCCCCGCAAAAAGACCTCCGAGTCCGCACTCAGGGGGCCATGACGATCAATGTCATAGGTTGTTTCGTCAACAGTCGTGGGTTGTCTCAGATGGTGCAGGCTGAGATCGGGCTGGCATCTGGCATGTCAAAACTTTTTTTCTTTTTCGAGAATCTCATCATTTTTGAAAATAGCAATAAATCAACGCATTCCAAGTCGTTTCAACGGCTTTTGGATGTACGACACCGACGCCTTTATCAGCAAAGAGCTCGTCGCAAACGGGATATTCGCAGGGCCTTTAACAAACAGACTACTTGCTATCTTAGTGTTCCTGCACTCTGCTACCTCGCGTTATATGGCGTTGTGTGCGCGTTCTTGAGATGCCGTGGTGCTGCTCTGTCTCTGAGTACAATGGGCTCCCTGGGAATGCTCCTCTTCGAAGTATATGTGTTTCTCCTGGGCTTCATTAGTGCGTTTTTCTTCTCTTTGACATTCTGAAGTATTTTTATAGACTATGGTCGTTCCAGTGATACGAAACCGGCTACGTACTTTCTATACCCAGACTTTGGTCAAAGGTCTGCCTTCACATGAGCGTCAGGGGACTCGGAAGGACATTGGCAAGCGGGGTCGTGAACAATGGATACATATAACTGTGCTTGGACCATTTACGCGACCGGCATTTCTTCGTCAGCCATTATAGTTCATCGTTGTAGTTTTGCGACTTACCTGTGCTCTTTTAGGTGTATCACCCCTTCATTCTATTGGCGACATTACACATGGGCTACGGAGACGTCATCTCATACCAGATCTCACCTACATTCGACACCAGTTCATCTTCCCTCACGCCCGTCTCTCTGAGATTCAGAGTCACGAAATTCTGAAGGACTTGGGAGTGTCGGATTTATCTGTTCTTCTCTTGGGGGAGGACCTTCGAAGCATCGTAAGTATTCTCTAAAATAGCATTTCGCTTTTTCTTTAATGCGTTGAACTAGGACGTGATGACATACAAGGCTCTGATGATGATGATACCATGCTTCGGTGTCGTTGCGGTCAAAAGTACGTGACACAGGCCCATTTATCCCGCCACGAAGGCAAATGCACCTATCTCATCTCGCGAGCCAAAAATCTATCTAAGCAAGGAGCCAATATATGGGGGGGAAAGCGTCAGAAGGGCGAGTTGAGCACTGATGCACGCCTTTGATTTGCCCAACGCGAGCGTGGTCATCAATCCCACCATCAAGAATGTTGTTCCGGTGACAAGCCTTATCCTGGGCCAAGCTCTGATGTTCCCGTATGTCGGTTCATACTTTGATGTTATGTCCTTTCTCATAGATTTTGCTGTAGGAGTCAGAAGTTCCAGATTCAACACCATATGTATACGAGCCGCCTATCAAGGTACCAACAACAGCGCCAATGTTTCGTTTTGACCCTCAAACACACGCACCAGTGGAAGACCCATCGCAATCGGTGGATCCCACCAAGCGCGTCCGACGTCCAACAGCGAAGATTATCGTTGCACTCGATGACACCCTACCCGAAGGGCCCGGAGAGTTCGATGATACTCTAGATACAAATGACTCAGATTTGTCTGCCAGTGTACACCCTCGTCCCAGAATTTGATTATTCATTAGCGAGAACCCTAACCCACATACGTGTGGCAGATCCGAGTCCTACACACCTTTTTTGTGCCCATCAATGCTCTTCTCTCTTTTTTATTTTAGCAAAACCAAGTCGACAAATTACCAAAGCTGGATCAGGATCTACAGCAAAAAGCTCGCTCGGCGGCTTTGCCGCCAGCTCGCATTTTGCCTCAATGTCAATAATTTCATAGCAGGACTATAGACCATCCGATTCATCTTATATACTATGATGACACATAACACAAAGCTCTTTAGCTTCTATATCCAAGGAGGCTATAAAAGTAAGCACTTCTGGTTTTGAACCATCTTATTCAAAAGACCTCAGTGTTCGCTGTTGCAGTCTGAAAGGTGTTAGAGCCTAATGTTGGGGTACGAAATGAAATTAATGTACAAAGACCAGTCTAAAAAGAAACATCAATGAGTAAACAAGGAAAATGAAAAGAAGACTGGCGGTATGGCACCAAGCCTTGGACAGCTAGGTAAGTCAACGACCAGGTTGTCTGAAAGAGGGGGACTACGGAAAACGAATTACTTCATCCCTAAAAAATGACCCGCTCGCGAAAATTTTGAAAAATCGCAATAAAAATACAGAAAAACACCAAACATTAATTAAATGCTACAAAATACATCAGAAAATGATAAGAATAGCATACAGATGACTTGCGCAAAGAAACGATATAATATACATAGACACAGGATTACGAGCGGGGGGGTAGCATACGCTTGCCCGGTGATGTCAGGCGGGCATGTAGGGTGTAGGGTCATGCTGTCCTGTGCTGGATATAGCCCAGACCACGAGTCGGCATACACTGGGGATGGGCTGGAGGATGGCTGGATGGGTACGCATCGGCGGCACTGTTACGCATCACCACGAGACCGCGAGGGAAGATAGAGACCACCACTGGATTCTCCTGGGTCGAAAAGGGGAGTGCAGATCCGATAGTGGTCGTACGGTTTGCATGGGACGAGCGAGATATAGTCGGGATGCGAGATGCGGGGTAGGCGGGCGATGTCGTCGTCGTTAGGTAAAACCGATCTGAGAGATGTGTTCCCCCATGTCGAAAATGGGGGATGTACGAAGGTGGGGGTCATTGGGGGACTGGGGCGGGCGGCAGGAGCCCATGTTGACTTTGGGCTGGGGTCGCAGCGGCGGGCCGTCAGCGCTCGCATTATCGTCGTTTTGGTGTTGTCCGTCGTGTACATGGGAGTAGTGTCGACGCCCGAAGAGGCGTTGCCGTCGCTGTTGTTGTTGGACGTCGATGCCCCACTCATCACCCCGCCTGCTCGCCCGTACTCTTCGTGCCGATTGCACGTCCCAGCCTCCTCTCCTCTGTTCCATAGCCCTGCCCCGTTCTCTACCATGCTTCTCCTTTGTTTTCGGACTCTCTCCGCCTTTCCCGTCATCGTCATCGTTGCCCTGCTCGGCGTTGCCCTCTTGGTGGTTAATTTTGCGTTTCATAACACCTCCTGCCCCGAGATGGCGGCCGATATTGATTCACCGGTGATTATCCGGACTATCGTAGTGCACGGAAGTAGCATACGGCTGCGATTAGCGTCGATCTCGATGTGGGGGGTATTGGACCGGACAGAGCAAACGACATAGCTGGTGACAGTGGTATCGACAGAGTACGGGCTAGATAAAATTGGTGAGACGAATGTTTCATATATGCATGAAAAAAAACTCACCATTTGATATAGCCTGTCAGTCATGGTGGTGGTCGAGGACGACACAAACGGGGAGGGAATGGTGCGAACTCCAGTGCTGGACATGAAAGAACCACCGCTATCCTGGGAGGGATATCCGGGTTCCTTAATTGGTGGCATAGCCACGACCCACGATGGTGACGGACGAAGACGAAGGTGAGCGTTTACAGGAAGAGGCCTTGTGAGGAGCAGACTCGTTGCCTCTGCGATCGTTCGAAATTGGGGACCCGAGCTCCGTTCTACCCCTCATTCCAGCCTTCTCCTCCCCATACCACAACCTTTCCCAGCCC